GGTCGCGCAGCGCCCTGGGACCCTCCCTCCAGCTGGGAGCGGGACCTAGCGCCCCCTGCGCACCGCTCAAGTCATGCGATGCCTGCCCCGTGCCAATGCGCCCTGTTCTGCCGCTGCATTGGCCGCGCACGGGGCCCAGGCTGCCAGCGCTTTGTGACGGGGGTCCGGTGGGTGACATCTTGCCCCCCCCAAAGTAAGTGACATGGAAAGGGCCCATCGCCTGCTTCCCCCTTCCCAATGTGTCCTGAGGTGGGTGGGGCTGAGCGGTGTACCTCAGGGTGCCTTGGATGAGCTGGTTTGTGGAGTGAAAGGCGATACTACACAGGGCCCAGAGTTACTCATGGAAAGTTTTCCGTTTTAAAAAAAGAAAAGTAGGAACAGCACGCATAGTGCAGCGATTCCTTTGGTGCATATCTTTGTCCGTTGTAGTAGAAAACGTATTTGGTGGAGAAAGTTGTATCTGAAGGACTTTAGGAACAGAGAAGAGAGCCCCCCCCCAGGAGGTATTGGGATATAGGACACTACACAAGTAGTCAAGATCTATGAGTGACTCGAAAACAATTCAGCATCCAATTGGGGGAGAGATATAGCGAGAGAGAGATGAAAGCCTGCTGTAAGGTGACCCATTAAATTAATACTATCTGCGGGTTGTTAAGGGGGTCAGGGAAAAAGAGCTAACTCTTTACCTTATTAGATGGACAAATTTAATGAACATAGAAGCAGAAAGGAAAGTATTAACATAAAATTCGCTATTTTCAGGCTAGGCATATTTGTCTGAGCTTTTAAATTATGTGGTATTTAGAGATTTGGCATGCCAGATTTTAGGGAGGTCTCAGAACTCCAGGACGTTCCAGCTCAAAGTGAAATGATAGACTGTAGAGAAAAAAATGAAATGATTGAGAGGAAACCTTTTCTAGCTAACTTGTATGAGTTTTCTTGATGATGATCTAATGTTTTGGTTCAATAAAGCATTGAGGTCTTTCTTATCAGGAATTCAGTGTTTTCTCTCTCCTATTCCTGAATACCTAAAAAGCAGTAGAGTAAATAGGAGAGTCATGAAAACTGTAACTTGAAAAATGTACTAAAGATAAATATTAAGGTAAACTTCTCTTTGTGCCGTAACATTGCATTGGGAACAGTGCCTGGTGCTTTCAACACCTTGAACAGCCTGGCAATTCTTGGATAGCATAATGTTTGTTTGTCAAAGCATTGTGTGGTTATTTCATAAGCTTCTGAAGATGCTATGCAGATGACCACATTTTAAAATTTTCACCCATCTTTTGTTCTCAAAACTTGATGTAACAATAAACCAACAAAATCCCTGTAAAACAGTACTGAATTTGAATTTCTGACTCTTAAAATTTAACTGTATTATTGCAAATATTCAAGATACTGAGACTTATTAAAGAAATCACTCACATTTGAGAGAGAGAGGTCTTTCTGTGACTTTGATAGTACTGTAATATATGTCCTTGCAAAGGGCACTTTTTATGGCCTGTAGATGTAAAGTGCAAGTCTTGAGGAAACATTGCAGTGAGTAAATAGAAAACTGCTACAACTTTCAGGCCTACAATCACAGTTTCACTGAAGAAATAATATGCTTTTTTTTTACCTTTGTTATGTAAATGTATAAATGAATGCTATATTTATTCTTTATGGTTGTAGTCTTTTGAAATGCCTCTGGCTTTCTCTGTGACTACCTTTTGAGAAAATTCAGTTCTTTTGTGGAGCTCTATTGCTAGCTTTTGGCAAAGCAATCCATGAAGCGTGCTGGATTCTTTAGCATACTTCCCAAAATATTTTAATCGCTGATCAAATAAGACATGAAGAAAAGTGATTTTTTTTAAAATGTCAGCCTAATATTTGAGGATTTATACAGAGATAAAGAGATTAGGGATATAAAATTCTGTTTAATCAGTTAACCGCTTAAACAGGGCCGGTGCTCCACCATGGCTGAGCTGGAGTGGCCCACCCGCCTTCCACAGCTGGGCTGGAGCAGTCCCTGCTCATGGCAGGTCCCTCCAGGCTGGAGCAGCCCTCTGCCCCCAGGGTGTTGGGGAGCTGCTCCAACCCTCTGCTGCTTAACCAGTTAGCCATTCCCATCCTTAAAACAGATTGCATTAAGTAGTTTGTTGCTAAATTACTGCTAGTTACAGCAAGGTAGCCTTCGTCTATAACTGTGTTTCTATAAAATCCCTACTGTGCATAACTGTAAGCTTAGTATTGAGAACACTAAATAGGAACAAAAGAATCAGGGCATTTTAATCTTTATTGTATTTGAATTAATTATGACTTGTTTTAGAACTGTAATTTTATAAGGGTACTCTCTTACACTCTGGGTACTCCTGAGAATTAGTTAAAAGCACAATTAACATGAACAAAAGACTGAGCAGGAACCTCATTCACACAGAATGACGAACTAAATGGAGCATATAGTGTAGAATAAAATAGATACTCCATCCTCAGTAAACATTTCTCCTCAAATAGCATTTGTCTCCAAAACCCCCTTCAATTTTGTTTGAGTCTCGCCTGAAGGTCAGTGTATCCAGGCTCTTTTGGTTGGGGAGGGCGAAGGTATATTCCATAGGAAAGGGCCATCATTAGAATGCCACGTCTACTTATGAGAAGGATCTTAGTCAGCTCCACAAATCTTGACTTAATTTGAGGCAGCCTCCAGTCATTTAGGGATTTGTATTCACTATACCAGCATCATCCACTCCACCTGGAAATCCTCAGGTAGTCAGGACAGCTGTTGGAATAATCTCACAATGGGATGCTCTACTTGCTGAGTGGTTTGTAACATTTTGAATTAGTGTTAGCTTCTTACTGGATTTAAAGTGCAGCACCATGTAGAGCAGGCATGTCCAAAGTCCGGCCCGCGGGCCAATTGCGGCCCGTGTTCCGGTTTAATACGGCCCCCGCTTCCTCCCCCTCTCCTGGCTCCCTGGCGCTCTTTTGAACTGGCGCGCCCAGCGTGCCGCTTCCGCCCTCCCCTGTAGGGCACGTCGGCAGCCCCGCTCCCCCGCTTGGCTGCGGGTTCGCCCTGCCCCCGGGCCGCTGTGAGGCCGGCGTGTCCTGCGCTCTCCGCCCGCCTCCGACCCCGCGGGCCCTCCGCCTTGGGGCTGAGGGTGCGGGGACAGCCCTCACGCATGTTCACTTCTTCAAATCTGGCCCTCTTTGAAACAAGTTTGGACACCCCTGATGTAGAGCATAGTCCAGTCTTGATGTGACGGACGTACAAATTATGGTTACAATGTCAGCCCTGGAAAGAGAATGATGTAATGTGGGGAAAAGGGTGCAAATGATCTTAGCTACTTGTTGAAAAGTTACTGGGGTAATTGAGAATGAGATTTGAGACCCTAAGATCAGAAGTCTACACAGTAAAGAAACAGTCCCTCAGCCTGAGCCCCAGCTTGTGTTGGTTAGTATAGGCCAGCTGCAAGTTTTCCTTTGCTGTGTAGACATACTTTTAGAGCAACAGATATTTTTACCACATCTTCCAGTTACTTTCCCTGATCCACCAATCTCCCCTTTATTTTGTCTGTGTTGAACCGAGGGATGTAATAGGATAACTGTTGCCTGTGTCAGAGCCCACAGCATGAGGTGGCAGCCGGCTCCCAGTGTACACTGGCTCCTGCCTGCAGCCCCACTCCCAGGGAGCTGGTTGCCGCCCTGTGCTGCTGCCTCTGACACAGGAGCAGCAGCTGGCTTCCCAGGAGCAGGGCCAGAAGGCGGGAGTCAGTACCCACTGGGAGCCAGCTTAAAAGCAGGCTTGTGGTGCACACCAGCTTCCAGGGAGCTGCCTGCCTTCCTGTACTGCAGGCTCTGCAATATAAAGCTTATACTGCTGAGCCTGCAGCGCAGCTGGCTCTCTAGGGCTACCGCTGCACTGCCATTTTTTTGAAGATATGTAAATTGTGCTCGCATTTGCATATCTTCTTCCGATTCTTTTTGCGGAAGAGGTTTTTCCGATATTTGGCCCCATGTAGATGGGGTCAAATGTTGGGGGGAAAAAAACCTTCTTTTGCAGGACCCCTTATTCCTCGTAAATCGAGGTTTACAGGGTCTTGCGAAAGGGCCAAATGTTGGGGGAAAAAAAACCCTATCTACACAGGGCCATATATTGGAAAAACCTCTTCTGCAAAAAGAATCAGAAGAAGATATGCAAATGCAAGCACGCTTTTCATATCTTCTGGAAAAAAACCAGCAGTGTAGCCCTAGCCTATGAGTGGGGCCAGACAGCTTTGCTCCCGGGAAGCCGCCTGTGCTGCAAACTCTGCAGTAGAAGCTTTATACCACAGAGTCCGCAGCGTGTAACCATGTAACTGCTGAGATTTTCAGTGGTTACGCAGTTACTCAATTACTTGCTTTTTAACATCCGTGGTTGAGCCTAGAATTTGTCAACATGAATTTGGTAATGTAATGCATTCAGTCTGCCTTCTCATTGCATAGTAAGACACCAAGGAATTGACCTGGAAACATATTTTAATTAGTCTGTTTGGTATTGCTTTGGGGTCAGTTTTGGTTAAAAGGCTACTAGAAATTCAGTCTTCAAGATTTTTGTTAAACTTGCCATGCCTGCTGCTACTACATGCTTTCTTCTTGATGAGAAAATAATGAAAGGAGTGCGCAGTTCTGTCATCAGACACTTAAATTTGGTGCATGTCTGTGGACTTCTGATGTGTCCTGAAGCTTCAGCTCTTGATACACCTGTCCTCTTGTAGACCAACAATTCCTAGTTAAGAGTAGGTTTTTGGCTCCCTTCATTCACTACCTCTTCGGTGCCCTCTCAGAGACTCTCATCAGAGAGGAGAGACTGAGCAGTTGGGAGACTTAACAACAAGAACCAAAAGGGGACTGTTTCCCAACTGATTACCAAGCACAAGACAAGAAGAATATATTTGTTTAGCAATTGATGTGCAGCTAGATGGTGCAGGCAAGATGTCCTGCCATTTCCACATACAGCAGAGGCTAAGGCAGGGAACCCAGCAGTCTCCGTGGACACCATCTGAGCAAGATGGTGGGGATGTGTGTGTCTCCATGCTCTTGAAAGGGAGCAACCAGTCCTCTGTGCCACCTGGAGTGCAGTGTGCCCCTCCCCAACCCTCAGAGCTGCATGAAGCACGCAGTGTGGTGCTCCAGTGGCTATTTAAAGGGCACGGGGCTCTGGCCAATGTGGCAATAGCAGTGGCT